CTTTCTTCTAGTCCAGCTCTTCTATTCTGTCACAGCCCTTCTTGTCCTTCTTCGTCGAATTGTTTCTCAAAATCAGTCTTCATTTGTCTCAAACTTACTTTTACAATTCTATCAGAAGCGTCATCTAAACTTTTCTCGCCATAATCCCCACTACTTCTAATTTCCCGATCGACTTTTCCTAATGCTAATCCTCCTCTTTAATTTCCCATTGTGCTGTTTGGTATTTATTTTTCGACTAAGATATTAAGATGATGGTTTGACCTTATTTCCACAACTTGATTGGGGCAACAGAGACTCTTTACCCAGTCCTGCATCCTCTGCCAAAAGCTGCCATGGCAATTTCCAGCATCAGACAGTTGACCTAGTACATTGCCAGACGTTTCGATGATATCGCCAGTAAGAGGCGCTCGTCATAGCACCAAATCACAGCTCGTAAAAGTGATAAGTGAAGAAAATCATCTTGATCAATTTGTAGAAATGGGTTGATCTCGTTGTCGCAACCTGGTCCTGTTGTCAGGGCGACTTAGTAGAACACACCTAGTCCGAAGTCGTCTGCCATAGTAGTTGTCATGATTCCCAGCATCAGGCAGTGGAGTTGGTACATTCTCAAAAGGGCACACATTTTGACGAGTGGAATGCAAACAAGTGATAAGTTGTTATAGGGCGTTAGTGGGATTAGAGATAGGCCAGGACAGAAAGAGGAGTGATAGTCCAACCGTTTTCGGCAGAACGTTTGTCGAGGCATTGAGTTCCCTTGTCTCTTTGACGAGTTCGTAGCTTGGGGCGGAGAATGGCAAGGCTCACTGATGATGCCGACTACGATGCCGGGGACACGTTTGAGAATGTACCAAATTCACTGTCTGATGATGGGAATCATGAAAACTATTATGGCAGACGACTTCGGACAAGGTCCATTCTACTAAGTCCCCCTGACAACAGGACCAAGTTGCGACAGCGAGGTCAACCCATTTCTATAAATCGAAAAGAGACTGCGACGATACCAGAGGTCACAACATCTTGGTCTTCATATATTCAATTGATCAATTTTGTTTCCTCATTTTGCCATTTCTCCTACCTGCTACTCTAACTTCTAGCCTTCAATCATCCTCCCTCAATCCCACTTCATTTGGCCAAATTACTTATCTACCGGCCTCCTTGTTTTCGTTTGTTCCAAAGTCTTCTAGAATTGCGTCAAGTCAAGTCGACACAATGAAGCGCAATCATCTGTGCTAACGTTACGCCATTTGAAGGGCTTCTGCAAACCAATCAGCACTTCTATTTAGCCATCCACTCCATTGATACTTTCAACTGTTCCCTGATGTACTGAATGACTATGATACTTCGATTGCTGCCACCGTTTCCATTATTGTTGAGGCTTTATTCACATGACTGGCCTCTAAACTGTGATGTGACATATGTGAGGACCTCTCTTAAACCCTCATTCCTATGCCTGCAGCACATTTAAAGTCCTTTATGCTTCAGTAACCCTATCTTCCAGTTTTCATCTTCTACACCTCCAACCAATTTTCTCACATTTTCTGGTATCCCATGTCTGATTTAATTGGGAGCCCCTATTAGAGATGTAGAGCGTTTTAGGTGTCCTTGTGATGAAAACCACATTCGCCTTTTTATTATCAGTCCCACCTAATTGTGAAACCTCACCCAATTCGACGTGTGAAAATTAGTCACTAAACACCCTTGTCGGGTAGGCAGTGAAATGCTTCTCACCACACAGAAATACACACATACGCATGTACGCATACACGCCTAATTCGTGCCCTAGGAGCCAACTGATATCGTACATTATTGAGCTTACTTCAATTTCAAGTGAAAGACTTGGGTGAAGAGATTGGAAGGTCGGTTCCACCGGAAGGTGCACCTTTTCACTGTAATCCAAGGAGATTACCTGGATACAGCGTAGGCATGAATCTTCCAGTAAAGCCAGTCGACAGCTGGTCAAGAGGAATCCGCCGTCGTCTTCTGGTGGAACCGACCTTCGAATCTCTTCATCAAACACTTTCACTCGAAATGTAAGTAAGCTCAACAAGAGATTCCTCGAAACCCAACTTTTCTTCGTGGCATTGTACACACAGTCTAAGCTGCAACGCCCTATGGGATTTTAAATTGACTCTTATTATCATAATAGTATATTATGAGCTTACATTTACATATTCTCGAGTGAACCCACACCGGCAAATTTCAGAAACTGCAATCATCTTCTCTTGACTCCTATTTATTCTTCGAGATCCTCTTCCTAGCGATGTTTCAGCCTTGTAATTCTTCTAATAATTCCCCTGCTCCAGGTGCTTCATTTATGCTGTTCATGGAGAATTCCGGCCTTCTGCAAGTTTGCCATCACGTATTCATTTAAGAGCACACACAACATGGGACCTTTGGCCTATTTCCACTCCAGACAAGAGATGTGAGAGAACGAAACGCAAATTAAGCTTCAGAGATGCCCGATTTCGAGTCGCCTCATTTTCGCCAGTTTTACTTTGCACACTTTTGTGTGCAACAGTGCTACTATCCTTATTCATGATGGTCCGAGGCTCATTTCTTTCTAACCTCTATTGCATTATTTCCTGACACAATCTATTCTGTGCGAGGCTCGTAGATGTGCAAAGAAGTCCGTTCTTCATGCACAACTAGAGAGGAGCAAAGCGAGACCACATTGCATGATTTAACTGTTGGCCATCTAACCCTTCTAGCTAGTGCCTCTTTAGGGTTGATCGAAGTTCCCGGAGAGCCTAGAAAGTATAACAAAAGGCCCTAGTGACAAGCAAAGAATCGGTTTTACTGCAGCACGAACTATCGTCATCTCAATTCGAACAAGATGAGTTGGACTGGCCTAAAATAAAATGACTTGACCTCACGATGCCATTTAATTTTATATTTTTATGCCCTCATTGTGGCCAGCTTTCTCATCCTGGCTGCCACGCAGGCTCTTCCTCGCCTCACCACCACCCAGTAGCAACATGTTGCCACTCCTCCACACAGAGAGGATAGTCGCGACTTTCAAGGCAAACCAGGCCTCGAAGTCTACTCATCAAGTAGACTGTAGCGCTGTCGAATGCAATAGCCAATGCCAGTTTGTCCTGTCGATAATCCCTTCATGAAGTGCTATTTAGCAGAGGCTCGACTTGCCTTGATTGTCATAGCTGCCCTCTGTCCGAATGGAATCCATGGATGTGCGTGTGTGCTGTCAAAATGATCACGTCGCCCCCTTGAATTCACGAACCGATCTCGAATCCCGTTGGGAAGTGTTGAGAATGCGATGAGACGAGATGACACCTAGCGACCAGTTGGGCTGAAAAAGCCAGATATTCACTTAAAGTAGTTACTTTCAAGATTATCAGTAGATCATGGATGATAGTTTTCCAATCTGATGAATAGGTCTTACGAGGTCATTGAAGTTCATTTAGCTTTGCCTCCCAAAAGGCGCTCTCATCCCGGCTGGACCGGAGCACCGTTTCAAAATCAATTGGTTCTCACCATCAGGTTACATCACCATTGCTGCCAGGCCTCACCAATATCACGTTTTACGGTGAAATTTGAGATGAGGCAAACTTAACTTTTACCCTTACAGCACACTTGTATTAAGTATAAGTAGGCTTGTAGGATAGACAATTCTTATTAAAGGTATGGTGTGGCCTTTTGTTGTATAGAGGTTGTTTGACCTTGTTTTCGCAACATGGTCAGATTGATTGAAAGACTTAGAGGAGCGCACCTCGACGGAAGTCCATTGTTTGCATGATCATTTCTAAAGTTGAACCGTGGACGTGGTACATTCCGAAAAGTTTCGCTGGCATCGTCAGTGAGTATCGCCATTCTTAGCACCATACAACAACTCGTCAAAGAGACAGTTCTCATTAAAGATTAAGTGATAGTCTCGAAATTGTCCTACAATGAATGCACCTATTTTAGTCGGTTGTAATACACCTTTTTCTCTTCGAGCCTCCCGCTTCATTGTGGGAGAATGCAATTGTAAGTCGCCCTGCCTTAGCTTCAGCGACCGAGGATGAGCCAAGTTCCCATTCAATATCAACCGACCAGTCATGCTCTCTGGTCGCCGCTTCTCGGCCGAACCGGACAGGTCCGATGACGAGGTGACACGTCGACTGACTGTGACATTCGGGCGATGTGACCTCGCCGAGGCCAGGCCCGGAGCTCGAGAGCACACACGAGCGAGCACGAACGAGCACGAGCAAGCACGACTGGTCTGGTCTCCGATCGACACGCTTGGCTCGACCGGCCTGGGCCGAATTGGGCAGGTCTGAAGGCGCCGGCGAACCGACGGCCAGGCCAGAGTGTGCCCACGAAGGGGACTTGAAGAGAAAAGGGTCCGAAGCCGGCGAGCCGAGACGATCCGAGGCGAAAGGAACGAAAGAGGCGATTAGAGTTGCGTGATGGGGTCAGATTTGCGCGAAATGGCGCATGCGGACGGAGTGGGAAACACGATAAAAGGCTCCCTCGAGCGTTTAAGGTCACGGCCGCAGGGCCGGGAGGCTAACTGGGCGCTTGCCGGACTTTGAAACAACTCGGAAGTTATGAGGAAAATTGATGTCTAGAGAAGGCATTAAGATATTAGATATTAAGAAGGAATATTTAAGGAAGAAAGAGTCGACGGCCGAGCTCACTAAAAAACGAATAGTCATTCCTCTAAACCATTTAGCTTCGTTATGGCCGAAAGAATGCTAGCCTGCTCTGAGGATGTCCGTCATACGGCATCTTAAAGCTTAATACGTTTCTACCGCAAATGAGAGACAGTGCCTCGGACAGTACAGCGATCCGACAGCTGATCAAAAGGAATTCACTATGGTCTTATGGTTGGATCGATCAGTGTCATGCACTTCCACTCAAGATGGAAGTGAACTCTTAAATGAATTGATGGACTTAAAGATGCAGAGGATGTCGGACCCAACTAATCTTTCCTTGGTCGTAGCTCTAAATAAGGCCTTAAATCCCACTTTTGTATACATATACACACACACACACACTTTCTCTCTCTTACACACACACGCGTTCTTTCTCTTACACACATACACACACAATTTCTTTCTCTTACGCAGACACACTTTATTTCTCTTACACACAAATACACACACACACACACAAACACATACATACATACATACATACATACATACATACATACATACATACATACATACATACATACAT